CTCCTCCTGTTTCTTCCCCGTTCCCTCCCCTTCCTTCTTTCCCGTAATTCTTGTTTTGTAACTTGTCATGGACTAGGAGAGCACAGACTGACAAAACGAATCAAAGCGTTAAATGCGTTTGAACCGATTCACTTCGGCCCAGTGATCGACCGACTCGCTGGCCTCTCTTTTACTTTTTAAGCCTAGGTTACGGATTGCTGGCTGTACGGGAGCCGTGGAAACGCGGATCGCGTCGGCGGATCTTCGGATGCTCGTTCACGGCTAATCGGCGGTTCGGTGATCGCGCATCGATTTCGCGAATGCGCCGGAGATTCGAGGCTTTCGTCGCAAACGCGTCGCGCTGTTCTTACCGTTTCAGCTGCAAGCTGGTTTCCTCGTCTTTTTGGGAACATTGCTCCAACCATCGCGCGATCTCTCCTCGATCGGCAACAGCTTCTCGTCCAACCTTGCTGTCTAACCTGCGTTCGACTGCTCGCGCAACCACGCGAGCGTCATTGTCCTTCGAAGATGGCGAAGTCTCTGATAGAATAATGAAATTTCATACGTCAATTCGAATTTCGAAAAGTTCGATAGAAATTCAATAGGTATTCGTGGCTGCGAATCTAGCGATACATAGTTGTTCGACCGCTTCCTCCCGACGCGCATCTACTCGGTACGCGCGTTGGAATAGTTTTTCCAAAAGGACCTAGGTTATATTTGAAAGGCCCAACGGTGAGAGCGTTGCACGACCGCGTTGTCGACTACACGTTCGTTCTCTCCGGCCGTGTTGCCCCTCCCAGCCGTTCGCGTTGGGTGTACGCGACACGCGAAACTCTCGAGAAAAGATGGACGGGTTCGCGAGACACGGACGCGATGATCCGGAGCCGATGTTCGTCCGGGTAGCATCAAGGGTGAAACCTGATTCCAGATAACTAGACTAGCACACCGGAGAGTGTCGGCTGTTGTTCGGGTTCCCTTCCCTCGCTGTCTAATCGTTGCCAGTTACGGAGCGAACCTCTTCGAGAAAACTGTAGAATTCGAATGGTCGTGTTCGAGCATTCGATCAATGAAATTTCACGTCGGTTCGCAAAGATACGAGATGAAAGGTTGTCGCGGAAGTTCCGGGAAATTAGGTAACAAGGTCGGCGGGAGACACGTCGTCTTGTTCGCTGACGCCGGCAACCTGCGATCACACTTATAGCTGGCTCGAGACGTGAAACTCCAGTGGTCTATTTTTCTGAACTGCTCGCCTTATAATATCGATATCGAGTCAGACTCGTCAAGATTTTACAAAGAATTTAATAAATGCGAATATTAATTGTTTCAAAGCAGTATTTCATTGCATTACAATCATTACGCGCGTTCTCTGTTCGGTTCAGCGTTCGATTCGAGAAGCTACGTAATATTATCGTTTGTTAGGCCGATCAAGCTGCGAGACAGTCGATCCTCTCTCGATTGGCGAATGTACAGGGGGTGAACGGAACGTTGAACGCAGCCATCGGGGTTCGCGGCGACCATACACCGGAGACGAGTCGCACGCTGTGTTCGCCGATAGTTTCGTTTTCGATGTCGTCTGCCTGTCGGGCAGACCACGGGGTTCGAGCAACGGCCGCGCGACAGGAAATCGGAGAGAATCTTCGATCGCGAGACGCGTGGTTCTCGTAGTCGGGGAACCGAGAAATAAAATCAGTTTGTTCGGGTTCGTGATCGATGTGTGATTTATTTTCGCTGATGCGAATCATGTCGGCTATATAATATATACATATATCTATATATTCATACCAATACAGTACATACGTATATTTTTCTTGTCGTAGCGAGGATACTTTCGACGAGGAAGGGCCTTTCTCGCGTGCGTTAAAGCAAACGAAACAAACGAAACAAACGAAAAGGAAAGAGAAAAAGGAAAGAAAAAGAAAGAAAAAGGAAAATGATAAACGGAAGGAAAGGCCGATCGAGGCCAGACTCGAATTTTTTTAAAAACGGTCCAACCCTCGTTTCCCTCTTCCCCCGAGACTCTGTCCACGACGTACAATAGTCCGCGAGAATCTGTTTGCCCCGTTTTACTTTTCACTTTTCACTTTTCACTTTTCACTTTTCACTTTTTCGCGCGGCGCACTCCGTTTCTATCCTTCCCCGTTGTTTCGACGGATCGAGAGCCAGCCACGGCCCGGGCGCGACGACCGAAACGAATGGGCGGGGAAAAAGTATCGATTGTTAATCCTTGCTAGCGTGTAAGAACGTACACCGCGTATATTTAATATATATAGCGCGTAAACAGAATACCGGATGAAACGATTAGGTATGCGGTGCTGGGGAACGATACGACAACTGGATCGTGACCAGTTTCTCGATTGAACCTTCTTTCGCGTCTTTTGCATTAAACAACGAATAATACGGGTTCTTTGCTGGAACGCGCGAACGGATTTTCGAGAACCTCGGTCCTTCGTTGATCGATGCAGGAAATATTAGGGAAATCGTCATTCGGAAACTTCCATTGCGATCGAGTTGCAATCGTCTCCAATACCGTGTACATGTGTATATGTGTATCTATATATTTATACGTCTAATTATAACTGTATACATACACATACGCGTACACGTACACGTACACGTACACGTACACGTACACGTACACGTACACGTACACGTACACGTGCGTACAGAAAAGTATATATGAAGAGAAAAAGGTATATATTAAGAAAAAATGAAAAAAAGCAGTAAAAATATTATCTATATATGCATATATAGATAAGATATGTTTTATACGCTGCATGTCATCCCTAGAGGAAAAAAAATAACGTGATCATCGTACAGTGTCGTTCGAAGTCGAGTGTCTTTCCTTCTATTTTATTTGTCTGTTTGTTTTCCATTCGATCGTTCTAGCGGTTTAAGCGACGCTCGTTTGCCAATGCACGATTGTAATTCAAGCGCGCGCGCATAAGCGAAATGCTAACGATCGCACCGTTTAGCCGAGCAAACGCGCTGTCCCCGATCGATATAGTCTGTCCGTTCGATCGTTGCGCGATTTCAATCCGTCGACGAATTCACCGAGGCGCGCGCTCGGATCCACCGAGAGATCCGATCGTTTGCCCAGCTATGCTGACCTCTCGAGAGAATCATTTTCCATTGTTTTCGTCGGATATGCTTCCTTCCGGAAGTCTCGACGCGGCTGTCGCTTGTCGCTTGTCGCTTGTCGTTCGATCGAGCTCACCTAAACGTGTCGGGTGTCTCAGTATTCGTGTCGCAGGAATAATTCAACGTGGACCATCAGACTAATCAGGACCAACTAACCAGAAAACACGTGTAAACGAAACAGCGAAGAAAACGTATCGAGTCAATCTACTACCGCAAACAAATTCTAATATAGGCGTGTTACGCAGTAGAGAGTCCGCGAACCGAAAGGAGCGTACGAAATTTCAAGGAAACTATAAGGGAATAGATCGTGCGTTGGCCGTTCCGGATTTTCCAGTGATTCCGGCCTGCCTCGTCGAACCTGCGGTCGGTGATCGTTCCGTCCGACGCTTCTGTTTTCAGAGATTCGTTAACTGGCGCGAGTCATTCGGATACGCGTCGACAGTGGGACGGCCAGAAGTTGATTCGGTTAATATGCAAACACAGAAGCAGAAAGAACTTTGATGAAAAAAATCTGAAAGAATCCAGTTGAACCGCTCGGTGGTTCGAATGTTAAACGACGAGACGTCCCTCCCGCCTCGAACGAAGTCCCACGACGGCCGACGAGGATCTTAACGGTGTACAGTTGAGAGGGAAATTTTAAACTTTTTAAAGCATTAACGGTGTAGGGTATTTAAGCTGTCCAAGACCGGGCGTACGTTTACCGGCGACAAGATTTTAAGGTTTCCTTGCCTCGCGTCAAGACACGGCCGCTGAGGGAGGACGAAACTTGAAGAGCATCGTTCGCGCGCGATTACCGATCCTCGTTACCCTCCACGACTGCGAGAACGGATTCGAGCGAGGCCACCGATAATGGTCGGTGATTCTCTCCGTTCGTTAAAACCGCGGGATTTCTTAACGATCGATCGCGAACGAGGTCATCGAACCGGTGCGATCGTTAGTAGAGTGTGACAGAAAATGCCGTTCGGTCCCGTTACGTCGAAATCTACGAGACGCGGAAACCCGTTGACCGGGCTAGCTAGGGAAATCGTGATCGATGCGATCGTCGTCGAGCCGATCGATGGATCATTCGCGAAGGGAACAGATCGGGCAACGCCTCAAAAATCGCTCGTCAGGCCGGTATCTGCAGTCGATCCGTCTCGAACGTTCGTTTCAAGCAACACCCGAAGGAAACTATTCGATTCGAATCGTCGACGTGTTGCCGTTCGATCAATTATTTCTATGCGTGGCAGCAACGTTTCACCGAAAATATTCTCGAAGATTAATCGTTTAACTTGTAATGAAATTATATATATATATATATATATATATATATATAGAAGACGGGCGATCTTTGAAGCGATGCCGTGCTACAGTGGGACGTGAGAGAACTGTTCGATCGTGTCCGTAGCGTACTAAATGGTAACAATCGCAACCGAGGTAACGAATAGGGGAAACGAAGCGTGATGGAAGGGGATGAATAACGAAGCTTCGAAACCGAGTGATCGAGTAAGTGTTTGGCTGTGCAGTAGAATAGGTAACAGACAGAACGTTTTAGAAAGAAAGGGAGAGAGAGAATACGAAACGATGCGAGAGAGAGAGAGAGAGTGAGAGAGAATGCGAGTGTGAAAGATTAAATAGAAGGCGTGAAAGAGACATAAAAATTGAAATGTTAATCGAAGGCAGCGAAAGTACATAGATGAAAAAATTAGGGATGGGATCGAATCTAAATTTGAAATTCTCGAAATTCTCGCGATACTTCTGCCGATTTGATCGAACAATAGGATTATCATGTTTCGAGAACCGACGCCAACACTTCTAAATAGATAAATGTTACCGATCGATTTCAAAGCTTTTCCTTGCGCGAGTTTCGAGAGTTTCGGACGAGGAAAACGGGGCAATGTTTCGAATGGTCGACATTCGAAAGATTGTTAGGTCTGAAAAGGTTTCGAGTAACCCCCATCCCTGGTATAAATGCGTTTCGCTTTATGTATTCAACACCGATCGAATCGCAAAGTATTTACAGACGTACAGAATTTGTTGATTCTCGTTCCGAATCACGCGTAAACGAGTTTCTGGGTTTCCGTTCCCTTTTTCAGTTATCGGAACACGCGAGACGGCGAACAGCTGGAGAAGGGAGGGGGCGAGCATTCAATTCGATCCGAATTCGATTCATTCGGATATCCGTCTGATCCAGAGTGAACCGTTCACGCTCTGGAGAGTCTTTGATATACAAGTGTGCAACACACTGTAAATGGTCTACACGTGTCGGCCTACACGTGCCTCCCGAAATCCGCGGCGGGACTCTCCCGATAATCGCGGAGCGACCGCCGCCCGCGTGACAGAACAACAAAACGATAAACAATGCAATTAACAAGTCTATACAATACACGTATCGTTATACTTGTTAAATATACACGCACACGCATACACGCGCGCGCATACGTGTATGCTTATGTGCATACAAATGTGCGCGGGCGAGTGTGCGTGCGTATCGCACGTATATAATAAACGGTTCGCGCGTTAAAACGAAATACTGTAGCCGATTTCACGGACATTTTCGCTGCTTCGAAAAAAGCTGCAGTCTACCATGTATATATTTTCATTAATGTATGTATAATAAAAAGAAAAAAGTATATTCGAGACAACGATCGGCTCTGTGTGTTTAGTTGATCGCTCTCTGTCACTCTACGGATCGGCGAAGATATACGAAGATCGGAGCAAGAGAAACAAGGAGAGAGGCGAGGAAGAGAGTGAGCGAGCGAGAGAGAAAGAGAGAGAGAGAGAGTGAGAGTGCGAGAAAAAGAGGGAGTGGGAGAGGGAGAGGGAGAGGGAGAGGGAGAGAGAGAGAGAGAGAGATACATTGGGATCGATCGAACTTTCGCGTTTCGGGAACTATTTTTCGGCTTCTGAACAGTATACATATTATCGCAACCGACGTATTTCTCTTTAGAAATAAATCTTGATGAGGAAACTCCGTGGATATTCTTTGTATTTATGTAAACGGCACCTAATCGCGTATATCACCTTTCTCGCGAAAGGTTCTGTGTTGATGTCAATAAATTTTCAGTGATTTCTAAGTGGTTTTACCCATCTCCCTGGATTTTATTGTGGAAGGATCGACGAGGAGATCCTGACAGTAGTCCTTGGAGGGCCATCGAATGCTTGCTCGACGTGTTTTTATTCTTGTTTCTCTGCGCCACCGGGAAATATTTTAACGAGCAAATATAGAAGATACTTTATCAATGAAATGAACAATCATTTTTCATAGGGGACTCTCGAAATCTATCGAAATAAAATGCAAACCTAGCGAGGACTTTATTAAATTTTTCTTTATTTTGTTGTAAATACAAAGTGGTATGCGTTTCGTTCGATCCGTTGCTTGTAATAATCACCTGGGAAAATGATTGGTCGCAGAAACATTGCTGGTCGGTAGTTAACATAGCAAACAAGCATGAATGAAAACACTACGCGTAGTGGCTTATTGAATGAACTCACGTACGTTTGATCTTATGCCGCATTACTCGGGTTGCCTAGCAACGCTCTCCGTACGAGTGTCACATGGCTCCATTTCATTCAATCCTGTAACCGAAACGGATTTATTTTCATCATTAAAGTCCTGTTCTCAACGAAAATTCTTGACATTGTTTTATTATTTATGGTAAATATAGTAAAATAAACATCCATCGCGGATCGTTGCACTCGGTTTCATTCGTAATTAAAGAGGTTAAGATAAACTAACCTAAAACCAACTGCGTTTCGCTCTGTTTTTGTTTGAACTTATCGTAGGATTAAGACGAATTGTAGTTCGTTTCGTGCAGAGTCAGGATGCATTCTGCAACCCTGCTTAAAAGGAAGAAATAATTTTCTATCTTTGGTACTGTCATCTGTGTTCTTTTCCGTAAAAAATAAACTTAACCTATACCCGACACCGAAATCACTCATTCGTCATGAGTAAATACAGAAGAAAGGAATCCTCGAGCGAGGATAGCGACAGCGAAGAGGAGCGACGCAAGAAAGATATTAAGGAAAGAGATGAATTTGCCAACAGGCTCAAAGCAAAAGATGAAACTAGAGTACGGAAGGTTGCCATGCCGGCTGGTTCAGGAGCAGGTGAATTGTATCTTTTACTCTAATGAAACAAGACGAACGATACGATGTTTAAACATTGTATTAAATTGGATATCTTTTACAGCCGAAGCAGCCAAGAGACTTAAAATCATGGAGACGGACATGAGGGAGAAGCTAGTCCCAAAGTTGAGAGTGGAATCGCGTAGAAAATATTTGGAGAAGCGTAAGGAGGACAAAGTAGCAGAATTAGAAGCCGATATCATTGACGACGAGTATCTGTTCGAGGAGCAAATGTAAAATCTCTTTGTTCCAACGCCGTACAGGTTGTTACTTTAATCGTATCTAGCCCACTGACGCGAGAACTTTGGTATAAACAGATTGACGGACCGGGAGAAGAAGGAAAGAGAACACAAGAAACAGTTACTCCAGTTGGCAAAGGAGCATGAAAAAGCCAGGGAGCTCGAAAGAGTGCAAAGATATCATATGCCCCTGGAAAAGGGCAAGGTTGAACCAGAATACGATACGCAAGAAAATGAACCACCTCAATCGGAACAAAGCAAATGGGAATCCGATCAAATGTCTTCTGCGGTGTTTCGCTTTGGTGCTAAAGATAGAAAAGGTAAATATATATATATATATTATAGTTGAAAAAATGAGAATCATTAATCGAGATATTTGTTTACTATTACAGCTCAACAGGACTACGATCTTCTTCTCGAGGACGAAGTAGAGTTTGTCCAAGCGTTGCGAATACCAGGCATCGAGAGAGATCGAAAACGCGAGGAAAGTCCGCCCGCGCAAGTGAAAGCCTTGCAAACCATACAAGAGACCAAAAAAAGTTTACCGATCTACCCTTTCAGGAACGACTTGATCCAGGCCATTAAAGACCACCAAGTATTGCCCTTAGCTTTAGCTGCATTGCGCCGTGTATGTTCATCTAGAATTCGACATTGTAGAATAAAATTCCAATATCCGTTCAGGTATTGATCATAGAGGGAGAAACGGGATCAGGTAAAACCACTCAGATCCCACAGTACTTGTACGAAGCTGGTTTCGCGGAAGACAATAAAATCATAGGATGCACTCAGCCGAGAAGAGTGGCGGCCATGTCAGTGGCCGCGAGAGTCGCTCACGAAATGGCGGTGAAACTGGGGAACGAAGTGGGTTACGCGATACGTTTCGAAGACTGCACTTCCCATCGCACTCGAATCAAATATATGACCGACGGTACGCTGCACAGGGAATTTCTCAGCGAACCAGACTTGGCCTCTTACAGGTACGGAAGTTGAAAAGTGTTCTCTTTCCGACACCGAAACATCGATGAAAACGATGGAAGAAATTTCTGAAAAATATTCTTTCCAGCGTTATGATCATCGACGAGGCTCACGAGCGTACCCTGCACACGGATATACTGTTTGGGCTAGTCAAAGATATAACGAGATTCCGATCAGACTTGAAACTGTTAATTTCGTCAGCCACATTGGATGCAACGAAATTCAGCGAATTTTTCGACGACGCGCCCATTTTTCGTATTCCTGGTCGACGTTTCCCTGTCGATATTTATTACACGAAAGCGCCCGAAGCGGATTACATCGACGCCTCGGTTGTTTCTATCCTACAAATACACGCGACCCAACCCTTCGGTGATATACTTGTCTTTTTAACTGGTGGGTGCTATTGAAATAATCGAGACAGCGCATGCTTCTGGAGTATAGTAAGATTATCTGGTAATTTCATTGGATCTCCTCAGGTCAAGACGAAATAGAGACCTGCCAAGAGATGCTGCAGGAGAGGGTGAGGCGACTGGGCTCGAAATTGAGGGAACTTTTGATCCTTCCCGTTTACGCGAACCTCCCGAGCGACATGCAGGCGAAAATATTCCAGCCAACCCCACCTGGCGCCAGGAAGGTGGGTATTCGATTTATCGACGATTCAGTTCGACAGCTTTTACGAACGCGTTCCTCGATTTGTGCAGGTAGTTCTAGCCACGAATATAGCAGAGACGTCTTTAACTATAGACAACATAGTGTACGTGATAGATCCCGGATTCGCGAAACAAAATAACTTCAATTCCCGGACAGGCATGGAAAGTTTGATGGTTGTCCCGATTAGCAAAGCTTCCGCTAATCAAAGAGCCGGGAGAGCTGGGAGGGTAGCCCCGGGAAAGTGTTTCCGGTTGTACACCGCTTGGGCGTATCAACACGAATTAGAGGACAACACTGTGCCAGAAATCCAGAGAATTAATCTAGGTAACGCGGTGCTCACGCTGAAGGCGTTAGGCATAAACGATCTAGTTCACTTCGATTTTCTGGATCCACCGCCACACGAAACGCTGGTCTTGGCATTGGAACAACTTTACGCTTTGGGAGCTTTGAATCATCGCGGAGAATTAACGAAATTGGGACGCAGAATGGCCGAGTTCCCCTTGGATCCTATGATGGCCAAGATGCTGTTGGCCAGCGAGCAATACCGTTGCTCGGAGGAAGTGGCCAGCATTGCAGCGATGTTGTCGGTGAACGGAGCCATCTTTTATAGACCCAAGGACAAGATTATACACGCGGACACCGCGCGGAAGAACTTTCATGTACCTGGAGGCGATCATCTCACCCTGTTGAACGTTTATAACCAGTGGCAGCAGAGCGACTTTAGCACCCATTGGTGCTACGAGAACTTTATTCAGCACAGGTCTATGAAGCGAGCCAGGGACGTTCGGGAACAGCTGGTTGGATTGATGCAGAGGGTCGAGATGGAGCTAGTTTCCGGCATCACGGAGACCGTGAATATTAGGAAGGTGAGTGAAATCAACTTTGCCCGCCTCCGTCTCTTTTACCGAGAGATGTTCCTGCGATCGAATTGCGAAACTTTTGAAATGTTCAACTTCGAATGTACTTTCGACGTATACAATTTCATCGTATTCCAGGCTATAACAGCCGGATATTTTTATCACGTGGCACGGTTGTCGAAAGGGGGGCATTACAAGACTGCCAAACACAATCAAACTGTCTCCATACACCCGAATAGTTCACTTTTCCAAGAACTTCCCCGGTGGTTGCTCTATCACGAATTGGTTTTCACTACCAAAGAATTTATGCGACAGGTACTGTCTTCGAAACTGAATTTGTTACGACCGATCCTTGTTCTGGAAGGGTGTTTTCATGATTTTTCTCGCTCGGTTATCGCAGGTAACCGAGATCGAAAGTAAATGGCTGCTGGAAGTCGCGCCCCATTATTACAAGCCAAAAGAGCTGGAGGATTCGACGAACAAGAAGATGCCGAAAGTCGCGGGTAGATCGCGGCCCGATGGAACCAACTGACGACCAAGTATCGAACAAGAAATTCACGGGATGCTTGTACAATTCCTAGAACCTTCTACCTAACATTGTACAGAGGCAACGTTGCAACGTTATTTTTTAAAAGGGGAAACTTCGTCGTAACCGCGAGACGATCAAATTTGTAAGTATCGATTGTATTTAAGGCAACGAAGATTAATACATGAAGATACGCTTTCTAACGATAAGCCGCGTGTAAAATATTTTCATTTGTAATAAATGCGAATCGAATCAATCGTTTGCTCGATCTTACACCACGTTTCGTGCCACGAAATGCTATATTATTATTTTCAGGAATTCACGAGTTTATTCGCGAGACAATCAATTTATCGCGTAATTTGAACGCGTATCGTTCTATTGTAGTTATCATTGGTTTTTGAAATTCATTGGTTAACATTCATTGCTCGATTTCACTAGCAAGTCCGAAGGAACGTAACGCGCCGAAAAGAATGGAAAAACATTTCCTCGAGTTACAGATCGAAAAGGCTGAGAACCAAAGCGAGGAATAAAAGCGTTTCCGTCGTTCTTCCTCTCTTCTCGGAGCGTTGAATATTTAACGTTCCCCCCCGGGAACACACCTTTTAAATGAATAAAACGAAGAGGATTCGCGAAGACGCGAGTTTTATTATAGTGACATTGTAACACAGCATTAGTGTAATGATACGCTACGCGCATACGAAGGTGGACGTGGACAGTGTCGTTGGAAACTGGAATATTTTCTAAAAGCATAGACCAGTTCTTTCGAGAATTTCACGAGCAACTCTCTGCCGTTGTAACCTTGGTCGATGCTATCGCGGCAAATCGATTCTATTTTGTTGGCCGATCGGGTAACTTCTATTTGGAATAACTTTGGAATAATAAATATTCGCGTGGCAGAGTATTTCGGCGTGAATGTAACATAGCAGAGCAAAGTCTTTGCACGCGACGAGACAAGTTGGAAGGACTAGGCTTTTAATTAGGATTCGTTCGATCGACATGGCCATTTTGGAACCGGCGTTCAAAATATTAATAATCGGGGGTTGTTGGCAACCAGCATTCTGCTCTACGGGATGCAAGAGGATATTGTACGCTTCGTACACGGTCTTTGTGTTACTTTTGATGCACACTTTTGGGCTGTCGCAACTTTTCAACGTGATACTGAACGTGAAAAACACGGACGATCTTAGCGATAGCTTGTACATGTTTATCGCGACTGTTTTGTCTTGTTTCAAGATAGTCACGATACTGATGAACCATAAGAGTATTGGAACTTTATGCGAGACACTGAGGACGAAGCCCTGCAAACCAAGGAACTACGAGGAAGAGACGATTCAGCGAGAATACGACAGTAGGATTGGGTAAATCATCGAGAATTTCGAATAGTTCAGTCGAGTCTCGGATCAGAGGAAAGATATTGGCGAATCAATCGAATAAATTTGCAATGTAATTTTCACGTTGAGCAGCGTTTACTCGATTCTAAAGTATCTTTTCAGAAGACCACAGAGAATTGACGAGCAAGTGAATTATTCAAAGGGTACTTACAGACAGTTTACAGGTCCGTCACGATATTTTACATGGCTTTAGTGGAGATTACTGTCTTCTGCATGATCTTGTCCTCCCTACTTACCGATTTCCGACACAAGAAGCTGGCGTATAACGCTTGGCTGCCTTTTAATTACTCGGGGAAGCTATATTACGTCGCGTACATTCATCAACTCGCCGCTCTGACCGGCGCATCCGTTCTTAACGTCGGCTGCGATGTGATATTCTGCGGTCTTTGCGTTCACGTCTGCAGCCAGCTAGAAATCTTGCAGAACAGATTGAAAGAGTTACCGTCGCAGGACAGGCCAGACGTTGGGACGATCGTTCGTTTCCACGAGTACCTATACGGGTCCGTTTTTGTACGCCTCTCCGACAAGGAGACTTTGTCAAACCAGCAGCAGCCTAGCTTCTCTCGAGATTTTCCACGCGTAAAGTACACCTAGAGGTAACGATGGGCACGGTAAAATTGCTTTCTTCGCGTTTACTCTCCAGGTAAAAAATATAAGAAAATTCTGCCGATCGGTTTTAAAGGAAATGTTTCTTTAACTTCAACGTTTGACAAAGTCCGGAGAATTTGATCCAAGGGAATTTTGTATGAAAATTGAATTGTTTGAGCGACATCTTTCGAAGAAATGACTCGTTTCGTCGCAGGTACGTATCGATGATGCAGGATAAATTTAAGACGATAATCAGCGTTCAACTGATGTCGAGCACACTGGTGGTGTGTTTCATTCTGTACCAGTTAACGAATACACCGTTGATGAGCTTCAGATACCTGCAGTTCGTCATGTACATGGCCTGCATGATGGCGCAGGTCTTCTTTTACTGTTGGTACGGGAATGAACTGATGCTGAAGGTACTTGAGCTAAA